AAAAAAAAAAAAACCAAAAAAAAAAACAAAAAAAAAACCATTAGAAGTGTGATTTTGATGAAAGCATAGAATTTTATATCCCACATACTTTTTGGAACAACCACTGTGTCATTTCTTTGACCACTATTGTAAGTGTTTTAAGTATGGTTAGCACTTTTATGCATTGTTGAGTTGTTAAATCCAAACAGTGGGGAAAAAAGAGCTCCATGAGAAGTAAATAATTTGATCAGTTTGAAACGCAGTTATGTTGTAGCATATTTTAGAATTATGAAATGTCATTTTTTCCTAAAATAGTGCTCAGCACACAGTAGGTCTGCAATGTGAGTTTTATTTTCTACTCTTAATGTTCCTGTTTTTTTATCCTAGGAATTAGATACCACTTTATATAGGTGGAAATAAAGGCTTGGAGAGTTTTCTGACTTGTTAATAGCACAGCAAATAATTGATGCACTCTGACTTTCAACCTGTATCTTCAGGGTCAAATCCAAACCCAGTACTGAGTGTCAGCATTAGAAGAGGAGAATGTTGTCTTAGTTATTTTTCTCTCTTTGCTGAGACAAAATACCAAAGTTAAAGAGAGAAAAGTTTATTCAGCTCAGTTTGTAGAGGTTTCAGTCCATAACTGGCTGGCTCCAAGGCAGGGTGGATGACAGACAGGCATTGCCGAAGAGAAACAGTTCATGGTGGGCAGAAGGTAGCAAAGCAAGCAAGTGAGGGACAAGAAAAGCCTCTTTCTGCCCCTTATAATCCATCTAGGCTGCCAGGATTAGGGTGATACTGACAAACTCTAAAACATTACTGGAAACCTCTGCAGTAGGCTCCTGTCTCCTGCCCAGTGTACAATGCAGGCCTGAGGAAAAAAAAAAAACACTAAAAGACAGGACTAAGAAAGACAGAAAGTGGGGTGCCAGGATGATCAGTGCTGGGGCAACCAACCAGGGCACTGGCCAGTCCAAGCCCCTCATTTTTATTAGTAATCAACTGGGGTAAAACAAGCTACGTGCAAGGGAAGCACTACAGGTGAGGATGCTCAGTCCTGATCAATATTGTGGTCCCCCGCAGGGTGGTGATAGAGTAATCAATGTGCTGACTTATTAATCATCCACCCTTAATCCTAGCACTTTTAATCTTAGCATTGTGCCACGAATCAGTCACACACTCGAGAGTCAGCCACCTCTGAAAAAGCCCCACCTGTGACTACATGAAGTTTGGGGGGACACCTAGACACAGCCATGAAAATGTGTTCAGTCATCCTGCACCTCCGGATGTCACAGCTGCCTGTGTGATGAGAAGGGATGAGTGTGATGCTTCCAAGACAAAAGCAGTGGAGCGCCACTCAGACTTCCTCCGAAAGAGCTCACCCTAAGTCAGAGGAGAACTTCAAAGGAAATGTCATCAGCTCTTTAAGAGAGGAACATGAATTAAACTATTTGAGTCACTATGATTTTCTTCTGTACGTGTAAAAAAGTCAGATCCCTCTTCCTAAAAAAGCATGTGTTAACCCCACAGTTGTTAACACACACATATTGATGATTGCAAAGTAAGACATAGTTATTAGATAAAGTATTCACATAATTTACTTAAGCATCAGTCTTAGGAAAATTTCCAAATCATTAGGAAAAATTTAAATATGTTGAACTTTAGATTCTTAAAGAAATCTTCAAGTATTTAAGAAGGAATAGGGTCATCATGTCTATAGTCATATATTCACTTCCTATAAAATTTGTGATCAGCTCATTTTTTGAAAGTAGTGTCTTATTTTACAATTACTTTATGATGGTGGAAAAATTCAATGGAAATCAAACTTTCATTTTTTAATTTTGATCATTTCCTCAGCTAGCAGTACTGTATACCCTCTTGAAGTGGTGAGTCACAGGCCACAGCCTCAGTCATTTGCATATTTTTCCTTAGAATTTAACTAAGAATTGTTCATGGTTAGCCCCCACAATTTCGCAGAAACCGGAAATATCTTCAGGAGTTTTTTTTTTTCATTGAGTTTATCGGTACTTTTTAGGTATACAGTACAGTTACATTCATCATTGGGATCTTGTACTTTTACATGACAGGTCTTGGTTCTCATTTTTTCCCCTTGTCCCTGCACTCCCTTCACTCCCTCCCCCTCCCCTATTTACAAAGGCTGTTTCCATTTTTTCCTTTTCTCATATTTTTTCCCTTATTTCCTTTCCCCTACCCTTCTCACTTGCCCTGCACCTTTAGCCCTTTTCTTCCTGTTTCACATTATCAGTTATAAAATTTGGATCTTCACCCTTTTAGTTTTTCACACCAGAGAAACTATTTGGTATTTAGACATGTGTGTCTTATTTATTTCACTTAAAAGTATGGCCTCAATATGCATCCATTTTCCTATGAATGACTCTAGTTTCTTGTTCTTTAAGACTGAGTAGTATTCCATTTTATAGAAAAATCACATCTTTATCCAGTCTCCAACTGATGGGCAATTGGGCTGTTTCCAAGTTTTAGCTATTAGAAACTGTGCCGCTATAAACATTGGTGAGCATATATCACTGTGGCATGATTCTTTTAATTATTTTGGAAAGATACCCAGCAAAGGGATAGCTGAGCCAAATGGAACCTCTAATTCCTAGTTCTTCGAGGA